TCTCTCGGGCTCTCTCGCTCTGCCTCGGTCTAAAATTTGTGGCGGTATACTTGTAGTCCTCTCTTTAAACATACCGTAAACTGATGGTAAGATATAATATAATGTTCCTCTGCGTCACGACCCCTCTCAGTCCGTCACGCTGCGCGGTGCTGGTCGCGCCAAGCTCATTCCAAGGCGCGCTGCTTTCAATTAAATCGCTCATCCCTCTCTCAGCCCGCTATCTCTCGCGCAGCTCGCGTGGCCGTCCCCTCCAATCCTAGGCAAGGGCAGCCTAGGCTAGCTAGGCGCGCTCGCTCCTTGGCCGGCGGTGGCGGCGTAGGGCCCAAGTGGCTTGCTTCCAGGCTGGGGCCGGCGGGTTCACTAAACCCCCAGCCACCCCAATCAGTCAGCGCGGCTGAGGCTGCCTCGCATACTGGCCCCGTACGGTCAAGGAAAATCCAATTCGTCGAAATAAATGTGGGGCTTGAAAGCATAGGTAATATGGCTTAGCGAGTGACAAAAACGTAGATGTGAAATGACGAACCGTTTAAAAATAAATGGGAAATCATGACGTTGCTGGAATGCCCTATTCCCTCTCGATCCTCCTTCTGGCAGTGCACTCACCTGAACGCCTCTACACAGCTCATTTGCATCGCTCTAATGAACGAGTTGAGCTGGGCCGAGGCGGGCGAAGGGGTGTGGGGGGAACATAGCAGGACGGGGAGGGGGTGGGGTGGGTGGCAGTGAGGGGAGTGAAGCAACACGAATAAAATGCGTGGAAAAACAAATTTGAGGTGGCGGGCCAAGGAAATAAATTAGGTTCGACGGGAAAGCAATTAGTTTTAGTGGGTGATGGGGCACATGGGACAGGAGGGGGAGGTTTGTTGCGTGAGGCGCGCGGGGCTCAGGTTGAGTTCAGGTGGGTGGATCATGCAGCTCTCTAATTATGCCGCTTGACATTTCTAGCACGTCTACACATCCATGTGTTCACTGCACAACACACACACATACGTGTGCTTAGAAGCACACATGACGCCTGCACATGAGCGAACTAAGAGGGCGCGCACACAGGGCTCGAAATGGCTTAACTCCGCAGGCTTGCCTGGATTTTTCCTTTTAAAGATGGAGTGTATGAACGCCCACTCCAACTCACAAAGGACGGGTGTGGTCCCTTTTTTCCCTTTGTTAGTCTCGCCTGTTTTCAAACAACGTCCATCTTTTCCTCGTTTCATTTTCCCCTCTTTCCTCTTTTTCTCACCCATCCTCCGCCGCTGTGGGTCTGGCCTGATATCTCAGCGTCCGATCTGCGCGAGTGAAATTCGCACCCCAAAAGTAGCGCAAGGCAAACACGACGGTACACTTCATTTAGAAGTGGGCAAACTTGGTAATGGCCGTGAAGATGAGGCCTCTCTGGTACTCGGGGCCGAGTGTATCCGGGCTGCGGGGGCGGATAGCTGCGCGCCGTGGACTGACTTGCGATTACAAACCACCCAAGTGTCCACAGTAAAACCCTTGCAAAGCAAAACGCCAAATATTTTTCGAAGCAAAATGCAAAATCCACTGCAATTGCAAAGCATATCTGCTTTGCAAGTAAAGCATTTGCTTCGCAATGCCAAAGGATTTGGCATTTTTCTGTGGCCCTCACCCAAAAAAATGTTTTCTCAATTCAAGATGATCCCCAAAATTTTAAGGCAAATGTTCTTATTTTAACCCCTATTTACACTTAAATTAAGTAAACACTGATTAAATTAATCCCTATTTGCCTTAAAATTTTGGGTATCTTCTTGAATTGAGAACACATTTTTTGGGGAGCTGTATGGCCCCTTTGATTGCCATGTCGTCGTAGCGCATTGAGAATTTTTTAGGCCTTAGGCACTGGACTTTTAGTCCCTAGACCGAAAGTTTTTGACGCTCTAAGGACAAAAGTTTTGTTGCCTGGCCTCACATGTTCATTGCGCCTCAACGAAGTTTCTGATCGCGGGAACTAAATGTGTAGCTCTGGGATCAAAATACGACGCAATAGACAACTAACTCGTAACTGTCTTTGTACTAGGGGAGAACTTTTTTTTTCTCAGTGCGCTCTCTTGTTGGCAGTATAACTCTGGATGAACCCCCTCTTCCTCCACTTTTATTTTGCTGATAACCGCCACCCGCATCTGCTGGTAAATAAAGTTAATGAAAATCATCATGTGAATGTGCACGTCAGTTCCACACTTTATCTATCAGTGTACGGCAGTTCCCACTTGCTGATCCCGTTCGAATGTTAAAATAAGTTTCGTATATTTCCCTTGGTCTTGGATCTTATGGAGAACAGCAATGGTATCCAAGACGACGGGTCTTGAAATACAATAAACATTTCCTTTTACCGTGCGCGGCTCTGGCTTTACAGGCTGCGCCAGCTGCTGCACTCCGCGGCAGGACGCTTTTTATTTTGCAATGCACGTCCTGCTTTCTTTAGTTGCTCGAAGTCCGTCCCCCGTAGGACAGAGGAGCGGGGAGTTCCTTGCCGCCAAGAAGTGTTTCCGACGAGTAGTGCTGGGGCAGAAACTTTGATTTGAATCCTTGGGGGGAATATGAGGCGGGGGTGTTCCTCCGTACCAGCCGGGGCACCTTGTGTCCTGCAGCGTCGGTGGGAAATCAGTTTCGCGGAAAATGAAATGCGAAAACTGTGAACTCAGCAGCCTCAGGCTGAGCCATACGACGCCGACGCGGCGTTCAACTTTGGCCGTACCCGTTATTCAACAGATTTTGCCGTCCGACAAAATGGGGCTAGCGCGTCTCTAAAACCTTATTCCTTATACCGCTCTGGACGAGTTAAACAATTTTACCGCCGTGTGTCGCGCGAGGGGTGCCTGCCTTACACGTGGTCGGAGGCGGAGCAGGCGGGGCAGGCGAGGTACTTTCCGTCAAGTTTGTGCAGCGTCAACACGAGCTCCGCCGTCGTTGGGTCCGCGGCCCGCGTTTGGCTGGCCGGAGGTTGCCTTTTACCTGCCCGTCTACACGAGCCACGTGCGCTTGTTCGTGGTACCGAAGGTACCTAGTTCTTGTCGAGCAGCACGGTCCGCTGGACTAACGCCAACGCGCTGGCCAGCTGCGTGTTCCCTGTTGTTGTCCGTTGTGTCGTGCACCTGCCAGGCGAAATTTGCCGCCCGCACACGCTCGCTGTTCTCGGTTTGTTGGTTCTTTTTTTTGTCTTTTTCTCCCTTTGTTATTTTCGCCTTTGCTTAATTTTTAACCCCCCCCCCCTCCCATGTGGCGCGTGTGTTGCGCCGCGTGCCCAAAATGACACCCTCGAGCGGAGCGATATTGAAGTCTGATGGATGATTATGCTCTTTTATCGAGAACCGCCGCCGCGGGTGATGGGAAAGTTAAGCTGCCCGTAATCCTGCTGGCTGGGTCCCGTAGAAAGGAACCAGCGTCCTGCTGCTTGCCATCCCGCTGGGCCCGCCATCGGCATATTATATCGAGCAAAACAAAAAAAGGACAGAGAAGTAAATACACGGAGGGGAGCTCGTTTCCGAGAGCAGGTGGTGGTTTTGTATAACTTCGGCGATCCGATAGCAATGAACCAATTAGCCGCGAATACATCCGGCTTTTCTCCTGCAGAAAACTCCAGGAGGCGGCCACACTGCGCGCCCGATACCCTCGCTCCCTTATCATCATTCCCTCCTTTATCTGACCGACCCCGACCGACGGGCCGGTCGGTCCGGCGGCCGCCGCCGGGCCGCCAGGCCGGGCATAAAAGTTTTCTTTTTCTCATTACCGGGAGGTCGGACGGGTCCCGGGAGTTTGCCACCGCCGCCGCCGGCCGCCGGAGCTCCGGCCAGGCCGGATTAAAACATCCAACTTGATTAAATCATCGCCTAATCCTCCAGGATCTCGTGGTCCGGCTCGCCCTTCCTTCCCTTCCTCCCCCGGAGCGGAGCCCAGGTGCGCCACCCTCGATAAGGCCACTCTGACGGCCGTCCTCCTTCCTGCCCGACGTCCCCCACAGCCTATGGCCCTCCCCCTTCCTCCGCACGGGTCTTGTTGTGGCTTCGCGCTTCGCGTCCTGAGCAGCAGGAAGAGCCCCATAGGAGCACGTCAGGCGACACTTTCCGTCCCTCGCACCCCCCCCTACACCCAAGCCCTTCTCCCGGTGTCCTAGCCGCCGCAAACGCTGGCTTTGCTATTTGGAGGGGGGTGGGGGCGGTGGTGTAAACACAAAGGAGTGTATCGGTACGCGGGGCGGTGCGGGGCGGTGCGGGGTGGCGCTCTCCATCGGGGTGCTATGTGGCAGCAGGGGGAGTGGAGGAGATTGGGGTAGAGGGGGAGGAGGGTTGGGGTAAAGAGGGAGGGGGTGGGGGACCGCGACATCACGACGCACAAAGCCGCGGCAACCGGCCCAATCAGCATGAGATGGAATATCTGAGCGCTTCTGCTCTGTGTGTGTGTAAGTGTGTGTGAGAGAGTTCAGTGCGTGTGTGCGTGTGTGTGTGTGTGAGAGAGAGAGTTCAGTGCGTGTGTGAGTGTGACTGTGTGACTGTGTATCTCTGTGAGCGCAGCAAGCACAGACGGCCCTTTTACAGGTAGCAGTGGGGTGACATTGTGCGCGAGGGGTATTATGCCGTGTGTGTATGAGGGCGTGCGCGCGCGCCCAGCCCAGCGGCCCGTGCAGTCAGTGCTTGACAGCCGAACCCGTGAAGTAGGTGTGGGACGTGTGGGCGAGGTCGCTGCGGGGGCGGCCGGTGTAGTGCGACACGCGACGCGCGCCCGCACAAATCATCGACGACACGTTTGTGGGGTTGTGTTTGTTCTGTCGAAAAGAAACGAAAAGGAATTGGGAGAGGGGTGCAATAAAAGTAGAGAGAACACAGTAGCGCGTGTTGTAAGTGGGCTTTGCACACGTGTGCGGTGTCGTCTGGCAGAGAGGGCGAGAGAGAGACAGAGAGACAGAGACAGCGTGGAGGGCGTGACGGCGACCCACGCGGCGCATCGCCGTGGCGCTACCTTTTAGCTGAGCGCGTTTTATTCTGTTCCAGGCCGGGCCCCAGCCTGTCATCAGTGTCGACCGGTGTCGACCCACGCCGCCGCTGTGCCGCGCCGACCGGAGCCGTGAGTAATTGTTTTTAATCAACTGCCTGGCGCGACAGACGCGGATTCAGCAGGGAGGGAGGCAGAGAGAGACAGAGGGAGACCCGCGAGGGTGACCCGACACGAAAATGGTGTGGAAGTGCTGGGTGGAGGGATGGCGTGTGTGTGTAGGATGTACCGGGTGATTGTACTGAAAGTTTGCAGAAAGCCAAATGACACTGTCCAAAAAAATCTGAAAATTCAACAATTTTTGTCTAAGCAAAATTACCTATGATATCTAGTCCGAAATGCCTTTGGCAGTATAGATACTCTGAATACTCAGGGTCCGAATTTCTAGAAATTTTGTCTGAATTTAAAGGAATTTAGTCTGAATTTCTGGTTTAGAGTAGTTATAGTATGAATTATCAGACTTAGGAATTTTTTAGAATTTCGATGAATTAATATGAAAACTCGTTTTAGACAGCTTAGCCTGAAGAAGTTAGTCTGAATTTCCAGAATTTTTTTTTTAACAGTGGGGGGCTGTGGGGCATAAGCCACGACCTTGGTGAGAGGCTTCCCCTAAGGGTCTGTTTGTCTTGGTCTCTCTCCTGTACAGTACACCTTAACCCTGCCACATTCCCTCCTCCCGTTCGAGACTTTGACCTGGTTGATGCCACCCCAATCACAACGTCCCAATGCTTTGATGTGTCGACCTGATCTAATGGATCTGTCATGGAATTATTTTGAGAAGTGGTTTCATGTCCCATTCAGGTCGATTTAGGTGGCCATGTCAACAAACCGAACACAAGGGTGAAATGTGGCGGGGAACATGTGTATCATCTCTGGTGTCACGCTATACCGGACGGTCGCTAGACCAAACTAAACCTAGGGGCGTGCATAGTACCCCTGACTAACTTTTACAGTGTGCAAAACGCGTCCAAACAAATATTTGAACTGTCGAAATTATGTCCGGTTCTTAATTTGGTTGTTTTACGGCTCTTTTTATTATTGTGGCCCATCTCGCCCATCCCCCCTTTGCCACTCTATGATCCTGGTTCCACACCTGGTGAGCGCCGGTTGTGACGGCCGCACTGAGCTGCTGGGGCAGCGGGGGCTGATACGAGCGATACGGCCATTCCTGTCCATTAACGATAAGCAAGGAAAAGTGGAGCGCACCTCTATGCAACAAATCATAAAAGGTGTAGTAACACAAAACCGCGCATCATAAAAGCTGCAAACATGTGGATATTTTACAAACTCGACGAGGGGAGCAGCCCCGCCTTGTGTCCTCGTCACAGATATTTTCGCCCGGCTCCGGCATTGGCCCACCAGGTCCACACACACGTACGCACACATACTTTTATATGCAACGTGTGTACGTTGGCGTGCGACTGGGCGACAATACTTTGGGATAATCCGTACAATGGGGCCCGCGGAGGGGGTGTGCTGGGGAGTGGCGGGACTTGACGGCTCGCCTCCAATAAGTAGTGTCGACAAGAGTAGGAGCCGGGACTCGCTCCCGCACGTGAGCCGCCCGTGCCACATACAATACTCTTACTAGGAAGCCCCCCCCCCATCCCCTTTTCCCAGCAAATCCGCAAACTCTCTCTCTCTCTCTCTCTTCCCCTCCTTCGCCCTCCCCGTCTCTCTCTCCCTCCATCTACCTGTCTCTCTCCCTATACGTCTCTCTCCCTGTATCTCTCGTTCCATTCGGAGCCTTTGGATTATCTACGCTACCGTCCAACTTTTTCGCGAGAGATTTCGTGCATGGCGCGTGCTGTGATGTAGCGAGGAGCACTGCGTGTGCAGTCAGATGCCTTTTCCTCGTCAGAGAAAGTCGGACGAGCGCTGGCTCTACCTTCTCTCTCCCTGCCCCTGCCCCTTCGCTTCTCCTCTCGCGCTCCGGCAAGAGCTCAACTTTGCGCTCCGTTTTCTCGGAAAAATACATTGGCCCGATTAAATCGCAGTGCCCCCTTTCCCTCCCTCCCTTCCGTCCTAGACCCTTCCAGCCTGGCTCGCTGTATAGCGCCAGGTAATGTTTCTTCTCTGCGGTGACTGCTGTGCAGTTGAGCCCCGCAACGCCCCTTCCCCGTCCCCCAGCCCCACCACGCCACGCTCAGTGATGTTTCTGCGGCGAGGCTCTGTTGCGCCGTTATGAAATATTTTATTATTTTTAAAAATTGCATAGACCAACATGTTTTATAAGTCATAAAGTGATAGTGAAAATTCGAATTTAAGTAATAATGCCTTTATATGGTGACCTGGCGAGTGGAAATTATCCTTAAATTTCATTTACATTTTCTCATTTATCGTGCAGACTACAGACACAACACTTAAACTGACAGGCACATGCGGGCGAACCCACGAATGACGAACCATCTCACAAACAGACAAGCAGGCGAACCTACGACGACGGCCAGCTAGACTGACAGCCTCCTCATCTCCCAGTGTGATGGTGCTCATAAACCGAGCGCTTAAGGAGGAGGTTCGTAATCGCAGCAGACAAGGTCGATTCCGAGAGGATGAGAGAGACAGAGCGCGCCCAAAAGCTAGAGAATGAGGGGGAGAGGGAGAGAGGGAGAAAGTGAGAGGATAAAGCAGAGCGACAAATGGTGATGGCCCTCTTTCAGACGCAGACGGACAGATTGGCTCGCGAGAGACGTTCATCACGCGGCCTCTTACGGCCAGCCCGGCTCTCTCGGGCTTGTTTTTCCCCCCTCTTTTCCCTTCTCTGCACGCCACATTTGTCGCGCTCCAGCCTCGCCACGCAGCGCTACGCCACGCCGCGTCGTGTCGCCACGCACCCCCCCGTGTGCAAATCAGAGCAGCGTGAGTGACGCGCCAGATGAGTGACGCCAGCCAGCCGCGCCGCACCGACACGCCCGGGCGCGACGCGTTACATCTACACGCTGAAAAATATCTCTTTCGCCAAAATATGGGGGTTTCGTACTTTGTGATTTCCAAGATTTGTTGTAAATTGAGGGTCGGTATTGTACCTTTACAACACTGACCTCGACACTCGCCAACTATTGCTTGCCGAATAGTTTTGTGAATTTGCAATATCTAGAAAAATCATAGCAAATATATATTGTGTAAACAGTGGGATGTCGTATCCCACTGTTTCGGCGACACGCGTAGCCTACTCACATATGTCCTTAAGTTTTATACTTTTGAAGTTCCCGCGCCACATGCTCGCGCCCCCATGACGCCGCCGCTCTGGCGCCATCACGAGCTGCGCCCGCCCCGCCCCCCATCCCGCCCACGCCCATACATTCAGTGGCGCGCGAGTGGAGGCGTGGAGTGGTGCGGGGCTCGGGCGCGGGTACCTCTCCCTCTGTGGATTTGTAGAGTGCTTCGCTAGAAATTCGCGCGCGCGCGGTCTCTCCAAGTAGTCCTCTACTTCACCCCTCTCCCCCCTTATCCCACTGCCACTGCCACGGAACCTCATGCGATGTATTTTATTCTGGCCCGTGATCCCGGTCCACTGTCAGCAGCAGGGGCAGCGCTTGTTGGTTTGGTTGGAGGGCCACCGCGGCCCAGCCCAGCGCGCCCAGCCCCCGCGTAGCCGCGGGTAGGCCACTCGCCGCGACGCACTGCCCGCCGGGAGGGCCGCCTCTGCGGGCGCCCTTCTTCTTCGGCGTCGCGTCTGCATTGCTTCAGCTTCCGCTTTTGCTTCCACTTCTGCTCCACTTATTAACCGCTACACCCCCTCCCGCTTCTGCTTTAAAATGTGCTTCATCTTCTTTCACTCTCAGCTCTGCTTCTGCACCGCTTCTACTTCCTCCTTCGCCCCGCTTCTAGCTTTTCGCCACTCGGCGTCTCGTCTCACGCGGCGGGGATTCTCCATTTCCCAACAATCAGATCAGTTCGAATATACTCAAAATGGCTTATTTTGTTCTTTAAATTTTACTGCAGGACATCTTCAGTAAATTTTAGTGAACAATCTCAAAAAATCTCGAGTAAACGTAAAAAGAGGAGCCAGGATGAAATTGAAGGAATTTTTTGCAAAAAGTGACAAATGTGGTAGCGTTGAAGAAGGGACGAGGGAAAGGCTCTGTTTTCGACCACTCATTAAAAAGAAATACGTAGTTAGAGAGAGTGAGAAGAGGTAGGTTGGTCAACTCTTGACGCCAGCGGTTATGTCCGAGCTGTCTTCCTTGCCCACCCCCTCCTCCTTTGTTTTAATCTTGCGCGGTACATGCGGTGGCACACTGCCGCCCCCCCCCCCTCTCCCTCTTTCTCTCTCTCTCTCACTCTCGATCTCGCTCTCTCGCACCAGAAGCCGCAACCGGTGCGCCGACCATACCACTGTCCGGAGCAGCGCTTGGGAAGCATGCTCGGGCCGTGTTGTGGGGCGGCGTGGCGCGGATGCGGTGAGGCTCGGTTTAGCGCGCAGCAGGCTGGCCGGAGCTTTTGGAGGGCCCTTCTCGCGCGCGCCAGCAGACGAGGGGAGGGAATGCAATGCGCACGGTTACCCCAGTCTAATTCTACTACTGCTCCTCACTTTATGCTGAGTGGTGAACACTTTCAGCTATGCTGGTGTCTTTTTCTAAAATTATTTTATCTTATTTTTTTTTTTTTGTCTTGCAGTTGAGCCCCGCAACGCCCCTTCCCCGTCCCCCAGCCCCACCACGCCACGCTCAGTGATGTTTCTGCGGCGAGGCTCTGTTGCGCCGTTATGAAATATTTTATTATTTTTAAAAATTGCATAGACCAACATGTTTTATAAGTCATAAAGTGATAGTGAAAATTCGAATTTAAGTAATAATGCCTTTATATGGTGACCTGGCGAGTGGAAATTATCCTTAAATTTCATTTACATTTTCTCATTTATCGTGCAGACTACAGACATAACACTTAAACTGACAGGCACATGCGGGCGAACCCACGAATGACGAACCATCTCACAAACAGACAAGCAGGCGAACCTACGACGACGGCCAGCTAGACTGACAGCCTCCTCATCTCCCAGTGTGATGGTGCTCATAAACCGAGCGCTTAAGGAGGAGGTTCGTAATCGCAGCAGACAAGGTCGATTCCGA